CTAGGGATTCAAAGTATGGATACGCTGCAGAAGATCAACCCCACTCACTGGTCCGAGAAAAGCCAGTGATTTACCCCTTTATCAAGGAGTTTATTAAAACCAGCCCAACAAATTCAGATTGCTAATAGCATGTTTTTAAAAAACCATGTCCATGGAAACAGCCCCAAATGCCATCAACAAATGAATAAACTGAGAAAGGGTGACATTCACACAATGCAATACTAGGCAGCACTAAAGAACAATATTTTTTTTAAATACTGTATCATATGGGAGAGTCTAAGCATTATGCTGAGTGAAATAACTCAGTTACATAAGGACATATATTGCATAAAATCATTATTGTCAAACAGAGGGCTACTGAGCACATATGTATAAATGTTCAAAAGGGGAAGTGGAAAAAGAGAAGAGGTGGGGAACGGGAGGAGTCACTAGGATAGCAGAGGTTAGGTGGATGGGGGGTGAAGGAAAAGGAAAGATTCAATGGGGACTTGAGAAGACAGGCTAATAATAGGCACAGATCAAAAGTAATTAATTATTTATATTATAATGTATATAAATGAGTGTTTGAAGCACTTTGTAAATGAAGGCTTGCATAAAACACAGTGCACATGAACAAAACACAATATATACTAACTATATGCAAACCAATAAGAATATTAGAGGGAGGGAAAATATGTCCAAGGTCACTATGTGACCTTAATATCTGCCTATGGGAAAATTCCATCACTTAAAAAACCCTGATAAATGGACATGAATGCATGGAAGCATCTGCTTTGCAAGGAGTCACCTTCAATTGAAGTCTTTATCTGCACACCTGCCAAACAAGTGCCCCACGGCTTGTCCTCTGTCCAGAAAAGCAGCTTTACTGAGGCCCCGAAGGCTCTAATGACCTTCATTAGAGCAGGATTTGAACAGTCTATCAATGTTTATAAATCTCAGTCACAGGTACAATCAGCACGACTGACTGAATGCATCCTTTCAGTGGTTTCAGAAACCAAATTTAATTCGGGCCAATGTACAGAGGACACAATGCATACTTTGAGAACGATTGGAACTAGTCCAGCCACACTTAGCTGTAAGGTCCTGGTAACCTTTCTGTGGAGAACACATACCTTCTGCATAGCTGAGTGTTTACATTAGCGAGGGTGACATCTGGATAAGTGGTTTTAGTTTCTAGCTAGTGCTATCTTTTCTAAAGCTTTCATTTCCTTAAAGTGTCTGCTTCCCTACCTTCCCCCTCTGGGCCAGAAACTGAGGCCTGCTCCAGAGCCCCGGAACAAGACTAACAGCACATTTGAATGAGGGCCAAACTGTGGGAGAAACTCAAACCGCCTGCAAGAAAGGCTGAAACTAACTGGAAGTGCCCCGATACGCTGCCAGGGCTTTTGTCTCAGCACCAGGTACCCCATGGCATCGTGGACCCAGACTGGCTGCCTGGTAGCAGATTTTCTAAGAAAGGTAAATCATCATTCCAACTGGAATTCTGGTGCCTGCTGATGCCACAAAGCTTTCCTCCCCTCTACTGATTTCATTGTGTGGCTTGGCTATTGAAGTTTTAGACCTCTAAGCAATATCATAACCCACAATCTTTACTGTGAAAAGTCTCTCCCAGGGACAAGACATCTTTTAGTCTTTCTTTGCATCTTCTGGTACAGATCCAGTGCCATCCTGTCCTCCCTCCGGCCAATCCATTCTCATTCAGCACTCTAGTGCTCTGGCACCATTGAGTCTGTTCCAGTCACAGTGACTTTGTAGGACAGACCAGAACCTTGAACCGTAATCTTTGCAGAAGCAGATCATCAAGTCTTCCATGCAGTGGCTCGTGGGTTCCAACCTCTGATCTTTGCGTTAGCAGCAGAGCATTGAACCTCTGCGCCACCAGTGCTCCTTATTTTAATTCTCTGCATAGCATTTTTTAAAAAATATATGTTATTTATATTGGTTTGCAGGGAGTTCTGGTGGCCTAGTGGCAAGAAGCTGCATTGCAATCTCAAAGGCACGTGGTTTGAATCCACCAGCCGTTCCGGGGTAGAAGGATGTGCAATCTCCTCCTGTGTGATTACTGCTTCTGAAAACCCACCAGAGGATCAGCTATGGATGGGATCTGACTCTATGATACACAACAACAGTTGGTTTGCATACAAAATTAGTATACATTGTGTTTCATTCATGTACATTGTGCTTCACACATTGCTTCATTCACACTGTGTTACTTACAATCACTTATATAAAAATCATATGTTTTTTTAGAACCAATCACCATTGATCCATGCCTACCATTACCTGGTCTTTTCATGTTGAAATTGGATCTTTCTCATACCTTTCCCATCCCATCTCCCTCACCAAGTCCTCTGCATAGCTTTAAATCAGACACATTGGTCATGTGGGATAAGAGACAGAAATACAAACTTATATGTCACATTTGTTACCCTTGAAAGGTTCACGTGTAAGAAGGAAGAGTGGACAAGATAACCATGCATAGGTGGTTATATTTCAACACTGAGGGTAGTGGCCCTGGGCTTTGCAGGAGGATCAGCACTGGAGCACACACTTGTGAGAAGGGTTATCAGAAAGGCCTTCCAAAAGAGGCAATGTCGTCATGCAGGATGAAAAATATATATCAGGAGTAAGTTAGCATGTATTGTCCTAATTAGGGTCAGAGTCTTGCCTCTTTTTCTTCTTTCCCAGCCTCTGAGAATGTTTCATCTCATTTTCACTGGCTCAGACAAGGAAAACTGTGAAGTGCTTGAATAGAGAAAGATCAACAGTCTTCTTCCACTATAATTCGCAACCTTGGAAAAACAATGGAAGTTCACTATACAGCGTGTTCAACAGCACTGAGGGTTTTGGTTTGTTTACTTTTAGGAAAGATCCAAATTGGACCTGAAAAGATTGGGTAATGGTAAATATAGATCACTGGTAACTGATTTTATAAAATTCAATGTATAAAAGAAACCGGAGAGCTAGATTAAAGCCTCTTCAAGGAAGATTAAGGAAATTGGCACAGAACTCTGACCTGGGTGGTGACAGTCAATCCAGGAAAAGGTTTCCTTTTCCTGCTTTTCCTGAGCACTAGAGCTAACAGCCTTGTGAAGAGTCCATAAACTTGCTTTCTTCCTCTCATTCTCTCTCTCTCTCTCTCTCTCTCTCTCTCTCTCTCTCTCCATATCCTGCTACTTCATCCTTCTTTTCCTGGTGCAACAGAATTAGGGCCTGCCTTGGGCTACAGAAATCTAGATTCAGATGCCAGCCTTGCCTTGAATAAGCTGTGTGACCAATTTCTCTAAGCCTCATTTTCTTCACCTGCACACAGGAATGACTCTTGAGTGATATCAACAATTAGCAAGCTCAGCTGCTAACAGAAAGGCAAGTGATTCTAGTCCACCTGGAGGCTCCCCAGAAGAAAGACCTGATTATCTACTTGTGAAAAACCTGCCACTGGAAACCATATGGTGCCCCATTCTACTCTGACACACACATGAGATTGTCATGAGTTAGACTCCACAGTAAGGCAACTGGTGTGCTTTTTGGTTTTAAAAATGCTTTCCTGCTGGGATTTCAGATCTGACAGTAGCTGGAACAGCACTCAAATGTCCTGATGATACTACAAGAGGAGGGAGCTATCTCAAATAGAGCAGTCATATGGGAAGCACCCCTTCCCAAGGTCAACAACCATGCAGGTGAAATAGTGGGAAAATGTGTATGGGGAAGAGGTAAGTGGCACAGGCAATTTAGGTATTTCCAGTGTAGGAAATCCTGGGAAACAACTTTAAAATGAAATTCAGTCCTGAGAGAGGGTTTAAGGTTGTTTTCTGCATTTAAATGCCTAGAATACTTTGGACTCTTCCAAATGATCATGAACAAAAAAAGACTTCAAAAAAGGTATAAAAACAGGGAGCTCTGGTGGCCTAGTGACCAGAAGCTGCACTGTGATCCCAAAGGTGCTCAGTTTGAATCCACCAGATGCTCTGCTGGAGAAGGAGTGGCAATCTTCTGTGCCATTCAGATCTGGTCCCACAGTACACAACAAGGGGGGTGGGGAGGAATCTCCCAAAACTAAACCAAACAAACAAAAAAATGCAACCCATTAATATGTCTACATAAACATATCTATAAATATCTCTATAGGTGTGTATATATATATAAACAAGAGTGTGGTGCATATGGTACTTTCTAATAAAGAATTGTTTAAAGATTAAACTTAAATCAACTCCAGGTAGAATTTGTCCTCTTCTCTGTCTGTACATATATATTTCAACTCACTGTTACCTACTTTTTTTACGTAATATTAAAGCAGATTTGTTTAATCAAGTTGAGAGGAACACTTGTCCAGACTGGACACTAAAGACATTTAAGCCAGTGAGCATCTACCAACATCAAAAAAGGTTTCAAAGCCCCAGACACATCCCTCTTTATATCCCTTTCCCCCATATACCACCACCACAATTCCATGGACTCTGAGCATTTACAGCATCAATGGAACGGCGCCTAACAAAGTTTTGGAAGAAACACTATCGTTTCTAGAAGGCATCATTGTGATGAATGAAGACATCAGTTCTTTATAGCCACACTTACTAAAATAAAAGCTGTGAAAAGCAAAGCTAAGTCAGAAACGATATGATTCACAAGCAAAGGTGGTTTTGACAGAACCTCTGTAGCCCTGTGTATTGTTTTCATCGCTGAATTTAGACAACAGAGCTGGTACTAAATATCATTTAAACAGCAAACAAAGCATTTAACTCTCCCCTGCTGTTGTTAGGTGCCATCAAGTCCAGCACAATTCATAGTGACCCTGTGACCCAAAGATCTGGACCTTGTTCTATCCTGTGTCATCCTCACACTTCCTGACATACAAGAGCCCATTGGAGCAGCTACCATGTAGATCCACCAGGTCCAGGTCTCCCCTACCCCAACCCCCAATTATTTAAAATGTATCAGTTCTCCAGAGGCCTTTTAAATTTCTTCTAATAAGATGAAATGGGAAGGCAAATGCTACTTACCTGGAATTCTATTGAGTGTCACCCAGAAATGTTCATCAGGACTGTAGGTATCTTTTGACCACTGGAGCAGGTCAATGGCCCTTTTATCATTAAAGACAAAATTAACAAACTCTCTGGTAAGGGCTACATAGGCAGTACCAAAGTAGATGGTCATCTGATGTGGAGGTGAAGTTTTCAAAATATTAGTATTTTGCACAAAAGAGCCATCCTTGCCTATATGTTCTCTGTGAACATACTTGGTTCGTTTAATGGCATGCTGAGGAGGCAGCACCCCGGGGGTAATATTTTTCCCTTTAAACCCTTTCAGGTGCTGAATTATCTCCCTATTGGTTTTCAGAGGAAAGTCTTGGCCACAGGTGTTAATCACGTATTTCCAGGGAACCTTGGAGGCCACCAGATCCTTCATGCAGTTCAGGTCAGCCTGGAGCCTAGAAATTCCTGCATAAACCACAGGCTCAATCTTGGAAGCAATAAAAGCATTTTGGAAACAACTCAGTAATTGCCCCACAGATTCCTTAAATTCAGCTGGGGCTTTCTCATCCACATGCACGCAGTAGACATTCTGGGGCATGTAGATAGATCTGAAGAGCCTCTCAAAAGTGGCGAAATCCTTATGGATGACCATGACATAAGCCAAGGGGAATGCAGCTTCTTCTTGGGACAGAGTGTTTGTGATGTAGTGGCTCTGAGTCAGGTAGTCCTCGCAAGGGACTCTTCCCACGGGTGATGTTAATGGCCTTCCCCACGCAAAGGTGAACCTCTTCTCCAAGGCAGAATCGCAGGCATGTATTCTAAGATACTTTTCACCTGAAATATTCAGCCTCTCGTAACTTTTTGGCAGGCTCAGTTGGCTGTGGTACAGGATCAGAAAAACGACCACGCTGAACACGGTAAAGGCAAAAAGAGAATACCTCCAAAAGTTCATTCTTTTCACTTCGCTGGAGACGGAATCTCTTTTCGGGGATTGAGGAATAGTCAGTCCCCCCCGATGACACAGGTGTGAGAAGTTGGGTGGACTCCAGGCAGTTCTGAATTGGGACAGTGTCTAAGGGCTGGCTGCCCTCAGTCAGTCTTCTTTCCTTCTGGGGGTGGTGGGTCAATCTTATTTCCTTCTGGGGTGGTCAGTCCTCTTTCCTTCCGGGAGTCAGTGTCCTATCCATCCTCTCCAGAACCGGCAGAGGTGCGGTATTCACGCTGGTCTGGGCTCCGTAGGATGCTTGTGTGTGCTCGGGTGCGATGCTGCTCCCGCTGTTCTGGGCCCGGGAGCTGAACCCCGCTGCTCACTGAGAGTCAGGCGCTCGACTCAGCACCGCGGGGCCCCCAAGGCCTCCGAGAAGACGCGAACCCCATCTCATTTGCATGCGTAATGTCATTGGCTGATGTGAGCAGATTACGTTATGGAATGGGAGACGACCCGCCCTTTTCACCCCGGCTGACTTTCTCTCTCTTTGCGAACCCTGCCCCCTTGCCCACAGACTTGCAGAAAAGGCGCTTCTCTTTTTTCTTGCGTGCGCCCTTGGAAACCACAGCCTTGGGGACTCTGCTCCCGAACTCTATTTCTCTTCCTGTTTCTCCGCCACCCCTCTTTTTGGTTTCAGTGTTATCTCTACCTTCTGGTCACTGACTGACGCAGGAAAGGAAGATCGTACTTGCGACATGCCTCTGGGTAGATTATCAGAGGCCAAAAGAAATCGTTGGTGAGGTGGGTGTTTGCAGGGTGGGGCCCCATAGCCTGTGCATTTGTGTTTATGTACAGCTGCGGACAGAAGGGTGGTGGGGGTATTAAGAATGACTCCTGTTGCCTCTCAGGAACCCACGAAGGTATCTTTTAACATCCAGTGCTGTATTGGTGCCACAGAATGAAATACAGGCACCTTCGCGTGCACACCCGCGGGAAATGTGATAGCCATTGTTCCGGGAGAGGCGAGGATGGTGCCCATTTCACGCAGTCGGCGTCAGTTAACTTGAACCCTTGACTATTATCTCCAACACTGGGAGTGGCAAACCACAGGGGCTCTTCAATGCCTGATATTTATTCTCCCATATCTTAAGATTTGAGTGCCTTACAAAGAATTTCACAGATCTCAAAGGATTTTCCTTCTCCTTCCCACCCAGCCCCCACCCCAGCTTCCTTACTCAGAAGACAGAACAAAAGGTTCGGGGCTGCAGCAGAATTCCTGGAAGTATACTCAGTGCAGTTCTGGAGCCCGGAAAGAAACCCAGCAGGTCAGGTCACATTACAAAAGGGTTCTCGTAGCACCTGAAACAGGCGCCTCCAGCTCTCAACAGAAGTGGACTAACTTGGTAGGTGACACCAGTGGGAAGGACAGACTCACATGTGTTAAAGTGGGCCACACCCAGCTCCTTCCCTTGTCACCTAGCTGTTCTTCCTTGTCTGTGAGGAAAACATGCATTTTATAATGCAATCTTCCTGTCCTGCCCAATCCCACACCACCTTTTATTTCCCTATAGTTCAGGCAAAGACAGCAACCGGGAAAGGATGGATATTGATTGGGAAATAGACCCAAAGAGTTGGAAAGGATCCTGGAGATGGCAAATGAAAAAACCTGAAGTAAATAAAAAATATCCCAGAATCACTCAAGCGGATAGGAACCGAAGCCTAATTCTGCTTTCTTTGTAAAGTCCTAGAGTCTCCGGGTGACACAAACAGTTGAAGTGTAGCTAGTCTGTTATGTGGAGCCTCGGCGGCCTAGTCTTCAGAGAGTTGTACTGCTAACCCAAAGGCAGCCCTTTTCCATCAGCAGCTCAACGATGAGCAATCTCTTCCCCGGATGATTGACAGCCTCTGAAAACTGGCTGGAGGGTCAGTTATGATTCAGTTTTTACTAGATAGAAATGATAGTGTCTGTGGTGTGCCATCAAGTTGATTCCCACTTGTAGTGAAGCAGAACTGCCCCATAGAGTTTTCTATGCTGTGCTCTTTATAGGAACAAACTGTCAGATCTTTTTTCTGTGGTGGCACCGGGAGGTTTGAATGATCAACCTTTTAGTTAGCCTACTTGGATTCAAATCCCAGCTTGAGCAGCCCAAATTCTGTCAACTGTGCGATGAAGATAAAATTACTGTACCTAAGTACCAGTGGAGTAGAAATCATAGTAACTTCATATTATATGATTAAATGAGACTACTCACTTAATCATGTATGTTAACACAGATAGATGTATAATAACATTAAGTTTAACACAGACCTAGGTTCCTAGTTTATGTTAAAAACACTATGTGCTTACTGGAAGCAATAATGTATTCAATAAAAAGGTCTAAGAAGTAGTACATAATGCATAAGTACATTACATATGGCACAGCCAACTGAAAAGTCAGCAGTTTAAATCCACCATCTACTCCTTGGGAGAAAGAAGGGCCGTTGCCTCCAGTAAAGATTTATAGCTTGAGAAATCCAGTAGAGCGTCATCATGACTCATGGTGAACAGGTTTCATCAGAATTCCAGACTATGGTAGAGATCAGGAAAAAAGACTTAATAAGCTATTTCTGAAAATTAGTCAATGAAAAACTTCTATATCAGAATGGGAAAGCAGCAGTGGACTCAGCCTGCCAGAGATGACAGTGATTCAGTGGAAGTAGGCAGTCATTCTATGTGTACAAGAATCAGAGCCAACTTTATAGCAACTACTGACAATAACAATTACTGGTACAGGTTTGTCTTTGAAAAACACATATCTGAATTCTATTAGTGAGCTTAAATTTTTATTTCTGGTTTCAGAAATGTAGGAGGACGACCCAATTTATCTTTTTAAGTCTTTCAAATGGGCGGATTTATTTCTGTAACATTTTTCTAGGAGATAAATTCTTTTCTTTCCTCATTGCCACCCGCATTCTACCCCAGACAGAAATATAACAGAAATGTGGCTGTGTGAAGGGAACATGAATAGTTCATCCTGATGTCCTCACTTCCCTTCATTCTTACTACGGTTTCACCACACCCTTTTCTACAAAACAAGTTCCCAGCAGGGAGGGCAAAGTAGGCGGGACAGGGAGGCAGATGGCCAATGCAAAGCCAGCTGTCAATCTTTCATCATAATTTAGTCAAAGCATATTGCAAATTGGGAGGCTGCAACGTTCTTTTTTAGGCTAAAACAGCATATTCCAATAAAATAGCTTCTACAGTCTGTCCTGGCTAATATACAATGATTTATGTGCAGTGACGGAGATTAAAATGTGATGCTTCCTTAATTTAATAGCTGGTGCAAGAATAGGGGTGCTTTGTCTGGTATCTATGGTAATGGAACAAGCTTCCCTCCTCTCTCCCTCATCAAATAGTTGGGCAGGATAAGGTCTAAACTTGCAGCAAGGCATTATTTTTGCTCTGTTCACTTTCATTGCCTTCTTGTTGTTAGGTGTGCTTCAGTCAGTCCTGACTCATCATGACCAGAAGTACAACAGACTGAAATACTGCCTATTCAGGTGCCATCTTTAAATTCATTGCTATGCTTGAGCCCATTGTTGCAGCCACAGAGTTAATCCATCTCACTACGAGCATCTGCTTTTTTGCTGTCCTTCTGTCTTACCAAGCATAATGGCAATTTCCAGGGACTAATCCCTTCTGATAGTGTATCAATAGTGTATGAGACCAAGCCTCGCCATCCCTACTTCCAAGGAGCATTTTGTTCTTATTTCTTCTAAGACAGATTTGTTTTTTTGTCAGTCCATGATATATATATTATTTTTCTCCAAAACCATAAATCAAAGGCATTAATCTTTGGTCTTCCTTATTCATTGCCCAATTTTCAAATGCATATGATATGACTGAAAATACCATGGCTTGCATGAGGCAGACCTTAGTCCTAAATGTCTTTTAACACTTTCTAGAGGGTTTTTTGGCAGCAGATTTGTCCAATGTAACACATCTTGCACTGATGGGGCATGTTGTCAGCAGGTGCCTTTTCTTTGGAAAAAGACTTCACGCTTACCAAGTGGAGGGTCAGTAAAAGTGAGAGACCCTCAAAGGAAGACCATCAAAGTGAGGAAGAGGGATTGACATGGTGACTACAGTAAAGGGCTTAAGCATGACAGAGATTGTGAGGATGGCTCAGGATAAGACAAGGTTTCCACGTGTTGTTCATAGGTTTGCTGTGAGTTGTTGTTGACTGGATGGTACCTAACAATAACAACATGTCATTTGACATCTCGACTGCAACTTCATGGACAGTGATTGTGGATCCAAGTAAAATGAAACCACAGCCACTTTTGATCTTTTTTGTTTATCATGTTATTATTAGTTTGTGTTGGGAGGATTTTTTTGTTTATGTAAAGGTGTGCTGTATACCGAAATTTTTAAAATGTTCATCAGTGCTTCAAGTTTTCTTCACTTTGAGCAAACAAGATTGTATCATCTTTGATTATCACAGGTTTCTAATAAGTCTTTCTTTAATCTTGATGCTATATTTGCCATTAGATTATTTGCTCAGCAAACAGATTTAGTAGGAGGGGTGAAAGGATAGACCTCAAACACAAACATTTCCTGGTTTTAAACAGTGCAACATCTCCTCATTTGCCTTAAAGACTGCCTCCTGGTTGGCATATGTACAAGTTCCACATGAACATAATGAACTGCTATGGAATTCCCATTCTCCACAAACATCATCCATAATTTGTTATGATCCACACAACCTTTGCATAGTCAATAAAACATAGACATCATTCTGTTATTTTTTGCTTTTAGGTCAGATCCATCTGGCGTGAGTAGTGATATCCTTCATTCTATATTCTCTTCTGAATGTGGCTTGAAATTTTTTTTTATATATATATACTGGTTTGTTTACAAAGTTCAAATACATTGTTCTTCACACCAGATCTTTCTCTCATTGATGTGCTCCTGCAACAATCTTCAGCAAAATTTTATGTGAGTGTGATACTAGTGATATAGCTCAATAATTTCCACAATCTGT